AAATGATTGCCAGCTCCAGACACAGCTCCATCTGTCTCATACCTGTTACATTTACACCTAACTAAACATGTGTCAGAAGTTGGCCGGGAGAGCGAGATATCAGCAGAGGTACTTGCTCTTACTGACCGGAGTGAACTCGCGTTGAAACGAGCACAGTAAGTGTAAGCTAAAGTGTAAGCTAACCGGGGCTAACGAGATAGCAGCGCTAGCTAGCCCTGACCGCGACAGCACTATGGCCGCAGCAGCCCCAACGGCATTTCAAGTCGCCCCGCCGCCCAAGTTTGACTTCAGAAAGCATGAAGAGTGGCCAAAATAGATCAAACGTTTTGAAAGATTCCGGATAGCTTCTGGGCTCGAGCTACAGCCAGAAGAAAACCAGGTGAACACGTTGATCTATACTATGGGAGAAGAAGCAGAGGATGTGCTTACTTCATTAAACATGTCGGACGTGGAGGCGAATGAATACCACACTATGGTAGCCAAGTTGGAGGAGCATTTTGTGGTGAGAAGAAACATAATTTTTGAACCTGCAAAGTTTAACCAAAGACAGCAAGAAATTGGAGAGACTACAGACAGCTTTATTACGTCGTTGTACACACTGGCAGAGCACTGTGACTATGGTGCGCTGCACAGCAACAGACTAGTGGTCGGGATACGTGACAAGCGGCTTTCGGAGTCACTGCAGATGGATGCGGATCTCACACTGGACAAGGCAGTTACAAAGATTCGTCCAAGCAAGCTTGTGAAGAAGCAGCAGGACCTTCTGAAAAATAATTTCAAATCAGAAAACCCCTACAATGTGGACAGTGTCAAAGTTAACACAAAAACATTCACAAAACCATTCAACAAACCAGTGAAGACTATGAAACAAGGCCATGAGAGGTACACAAGACGGGACACTCAACAATGCAACAGATGTGGGAAATCACCGTCTCACAGTAAACACGTATGCCCAGCCATAGAGGTATTTTGCACTCAATGTAAGAAAAAAGGACATTACGCACGTGTGTTGGTCAGGAGCAGTAAGATAAATACAGGCTGCAGGTAATGACAGTGAAAGTGAGAGTGAGGTTGCATTTTTAGGCTCAGTGGCCTCAGATCAGTCAGAGGATGCATGGGTCTCAACGATTAAAGTAAACAATCTGGACTGTGTACTCAAAATTGACACAGGAGCAGACGTTACTGTCCTACCAGAGAAAGTATATAATGCGCTAGCGCAGAAGCCGCAGCTTCAGCCAACTAAACTGAAACTGTATGGGGCAGGTATGTCACCTCTGGCAGTTAAGGGGAAGTTTACAGCTAACCTAAGCACAGCTAACATGTCCGCAGTACAGGTAGTGTATGTAGTGGCAGATCTGTTACAAGGTCTACTCAGTCGACCCGCAAGCGTAGCTCTTGGGTTAGTGGCTAGAGTTGAGGCAGTTTTGCTCACGACGACAGAGGCAGTGAAGCAGCGTTTTCCAAAACTGTTCAGTGGCTTAGGTAAAATGGAGGGAGAATACAAAATCGAGCTAAAAGAAGATGCTAAGCCATTTGCTCTGACAACTCCCCGACGTGTTCCACTACCCCTGCTTCCTAAAGTTAAAAAGGAACTAGCTTTGGGCTTTGGAATAGGGATGGTCCCTATTCCAAAGCGGACAGAAGATGAGGTGCGGGTGTGTGTCGACTTAACAAAACTAAATGACTCACTCAAAAGGGAACGACACATGCTACCGTCTGTTGAACACACGTTAGGACAACTTCAAGATGCTAAGATATTCTCAAAACTAAATGCAAACTCTGGATTCTGGCAAATCGCGCTATCCAAAGAATCAGCACTCCTCACAACTTTCATTACACCGTTCGGGAGATTTTGTTTTAACAGACTCTGTTTCGGAATCTCATCTGCTCACGAACATTTTCAGAAAAGGATGTCACAGCTCCTGGAGGGGCTGGATGGTGTGGTATGCCAGATGGACGACATACTGGTGCTCGCTAACACACACAGACCCATCACGATGCACGATTAGAGGCAGTTCTACGGAGGCTCGAAAAGGCAGGTGTTACACTAAACAGGCAGGTGTTACACTGAAAACAACTACCGTCTGTTGAACACACGTTAGGACAACTTCAAGATGCTAAGATATTCTCAAAACTAGATGCACTCTACAACCCCAATTAAAAACTTCAATTAAGGTTTTAGGACAGATCATTGACAGCACTGGAGTAAAAGCGGATCCAGATAAAGTGAAAGCGGTGAGCAACATGGAAGCTCCTACCGACGTCAGTGGCGTGAGGCGGTTTCTGAGGATGGTTAATCATTTGGGAAAATACCTTCCTCACCTCGTAGACAAAACTCAGCCACTGAGAGACCTGCTGAGCTCTAAGAACATGTGGTGCTGGGGGGAGGCGCAGCAAAATGCGTTTGATACAATCGAGTCTGAGCTGAGCAAATCGCCAAACTTGGCACTCTACAACCCCAAAGCACAGACGACAGTGTCGGCCGATGCATCTTCCTTCGGACTCGGAGCAGTGTTGTTTCAAAACCAAGGAGATGGCGTAATCAAACCAGTGGCGTTCGCATCGAGAGCACTCAGCCCAACAGAACAAAGGTACGCACAGATTGAGAAAGAGGTATTGGCCATAACCTGGGCATGTGAGCGCTTCTCAGACTTTCTAATAGGCATTGAGGTACTCTTTTTCTTTTGCCTGGTAAAAGCATAGCAACCGCAGACTGTTGTCCAGAGCACCACAAAAGACAACATTTGACAAGACACTAATCCTAATAGTTTTCTGTTTTAAAGGAGCTGCTGCATTTAATGCAGATTTTAAAGACTCCATAGTGCTGTCCACCGTTTGGTCAATGACTGAGGGACTGCAGCAGCTGTGAACAGGTTCACCTGCAATTCAACAGAATTGTATCATCAGGCTCTGAAAGATACCCAGCCTATACCTATACTGTTGTAAATATTTCTGTCTTGAGGTCTCACTGGAAATACTCCTTTGATTGACAGAATATAAAAAAACACATCACCAGATTTCTCTGAAGTGACCGCCCCGTGTCCTATATATTATTCCCAGAACACAGGTGTGGGGTTGGGCACCTTTGAGTAGATGAGTGAAGTACAGTACATATCTAACAAGTTTAATTGAGAAACACATTCCAAAGCTAAGTGATTCTGCTGCTGTCCTCCAGATGCCAATACTTTTCATACCTTGAAACTCTGTGGGTGGTGTCCTTTTTAACTGTACATGACTGTCTAAACCCTTGAATACTAGGACACTTCTGGCTTTGTGTAAAACAGCATATTTTATCACTGTGGAAAAAATGGCACATCTCAAGTTGCAAGTGTGTCTAATTTCTCATGGACTAAGTCCAGACTCCTCTGAAGACTGAACCTCTGCATCCTGTGAACTCAAACTCATTAGAATGGGTTGAGTAGCTCTCCACCGCCCCCTGGAGCCAGTCAGAAAGCTTGCGGCTTTGAGCTGACATGTTTTTGGTATAATATTTTTCTCAGGATACAGCACATCCCATTATTATAAACAATAAACTAGATACGAAAGGGCTGTCCGCCGATCAGGTGTGAGTTTATTTTAGGATTAAAATTTAGAATTAGAATAATTGAAACTTGATCTCACTTACTCTACTCATTATTGTTCTTTCTCATAGATTACAATTATAAAATCTTCTCACAGCCTTGCTTGGGCATTGCATCACGAAGAAACTAAAACCAAAGAAGCTTTGTGTTTGACATGTTCTGCCCCTGTGTAAAGATCAACGAGATCTGTGAATGTAATCATTTTAAATCTAATAAAAAGTGGATTTGTTGGGCGTAATAACCTGCATTGAAACCATGAAACCTGTGTCACCATTAAAACAACATACTACCGTTATTCCGTATGTTTGGACATTCAAGAACTCAAGAACACAAGTCAAGCTAAAGCTTTAGCCCAGGCTGCTTACAGTGGCAAAGACACTCTCAACAATTGCCACAACAAATATTCTGACTCAAGTTCCATTGTGTGTCAGAACAAATATGGAACATTCAGTTTTTCAGATAGTAATGTTTAGCAGTATGCAGAAATAACAGGGGCCCACAGTACAAAATATGCAGGTCTGATTCCGCACTTTAATATTGCATAAAATATCTAAATAAATACCTTCTAATTTATTCAACAAAAAGTTTTTTTATGTTAATGAAGATGGACACTACACTGTGGCGACCACTGCTCCTACAGGTTTCTAATGGCATTGCAGGACGGGTCAAATACAGAGGACTAATTTTCCTACCTCAAGAATAAAGCACCATGCCTATTTTACCACTAAGTCCCTTCAAACGTCCTTTTCTACTTTCACTTTTGAGTTGACTTTTAGATAATTATCTATCTAATTAATACTTCAATATTCTTGCACTATACCTTAAAAATGTATATCTTGTTTCTTGATTAAGCTAAAGACGCATAGATGCGTAGATTTGAGTTATACTTGTTATTCACATATGTTATCTGGTGCTGTGTGCTCCTCATTCCTACTGTTGTGTAACTTGTGATGCAACACTGAAAATTCCCCACTGTGGGACAAATAATCTCTCAATCTCTCAGTGAAGAATTTCGACTTTTACTTTTGAGTTTAGTTTCAGACTCGTATCTATCTAAGGCTATTTTTTTCCATCAATTGTTCCAACAGTAGTCGCCTATGCACCAATAACCACACACCAGACAAAAAAATAATTGCGCAATTGTGGGTCCCATATTGAATTTCAAATCGTGGGCCCCCAAATTCGTCACTCCGCCCCTGCTGTTTGTACAGTCCATGGTATTGATGGTGATTTCTGGCTCTTGGATGACATGATTTTGTCAGAGTGTGAGTAAAAAAAAAGAAACATGAGATCCACGCGGGCTCACGCGCTGTCAGGGTCTACACACAATTTAACCTCCAAACCAGATGAACGAGCGCGGGGCTTTGAAAAAAAAACACATCCACCACAGTCAGTGACGTACAGCCCACTGCGTGACGAATGGAACTCCGGCGGTGGAGGCTGGAGGCGCTATATAAGCCGCTCAGTGCGCAGCGAGAGATCCATCCACAGCCAAGCGCGCATCCACCACCAAACAACTGCTCCAGCCAAAAACCAAAACAAACAAAAAACATACACGGGACTTTCTGCAACCCTCCACCCATCTACAAGCTCACCATGAACGGACACTGCAACGGCAACGACCTGGTGGAAGCCCATCTGAACAAGGATCTCAGCGACCTCATCATCGACACCAAGAAGTCCGCCGTGCTGGTGCGCAGGGACCACGAGACGTCACGCAAAGACGCCGAGGACAAGTCGCGTCTTCCGGCCATCGAGGCGGCGTATACGTGCATCCTCCGGGAGCTGGGCGAGGACGCAGACCGGGAGGGACTGCTGAGGACCCCGCTGAGAGCTGCCAAAGCCATGCAGTTTCTGACCAAGGGGTACCATGAGACAATCTACGGTGAGTCATCCCAGGGGCCAGAGGATGGGCAGGTGGTTATTATGGTGTCTGACAATCCAGGTGATAATTAGAGATGTGCAATTAAACTGTCCAGCAGATATCGGGTTTAGACTATAGAGTTGGCTAAAAAGTCTTGACGATTAAATGCCTAACTTTAGAAGCACTCAAAATAATAAGTAATGTGATATTATCTTTACGACTAATTTCTTGGTTTTAAAACAGTTCAGTTCTATCACTATAGTTTTTTCATGTGTTTTTGTCACATCTTTAGATTAGCTTTGTCAACCTCACCTCAGCCAATCAGCTCTCAGTATACATTATTATTTAAAAGTGTGTTCTAATAATAAAGATGGAATGTTTACACTTAGACAAACACAATACATTTCTGAAACGATAAGAAAGGGTCTCCAGCTTTATCCTTAACCATTGCAAGTTCTATTAAAACTAGTTACCCATAATTATTTTAGTATCCATACTTTCTCGAAGCTGGGGTAATTAACTTTTGTTCATAAATAGTAAATTTGTTTTTCTCCAACAGAGAGAGTTATGTGCACTTCAAAAAATGCAATTTGTTTCCTCATTAGAAAACAGGTAATGTGACTATGTGATGCTTTGGGCTGAGAGCTGATTGGCTGAGAGAGTTTTTCCACTTCTTTATGTCCGATGAAGCTGATAGGATGAGACAGCGGCAAAAATACATTCAAATCCTGCAAAAAATCAGCATGTGAACAAGTGATAGAAATTAGACACTGTTTTGAAGAGAATTTAGTTGGTTTTCATTACATTTTCATATTGTTGCTTTTGAAGTCACCATCAAATTCCATCTGTAGCCTCAAGAAATCCACCTTAAATGATGTGACAATTTATTTTAGACACACACAGGCGTGCAAAGATCCTTACAGCTCAGAAAAGATATGAACTAATCCAAAAATATAAACAAGTATATACTCAATCTCGTGATCTAACACCAAAACCAAAAAATTCACCACTTTGCGATTTACTGACGTTACAATGTGATTCTTCCTCAGCTTTTTCCCCAATGTTGATTCACAAGGTTTGCAGTGATATTTTAGTGTTTGATGTTTGAAGACAATATAAAAGTAAATGGATAAATAATTCCACTCTGATCGTGTCACAGTTGGCGTGACAGACATTTCCCCCTCGTATTGATCCATCTCCGTTTTCAATTTGTTTTGCTGTTGTTTTATTAAAATTCAATACTTCCTCGAGCACAGGGCAGGAGCGCACACTTAAAGCTTGGATACCTAAATTAGCTCCATATATTGTTGACTGCAAAATAGGTCACCCTAGCTTTAACTTTCTGGCTCAAAACAGTGAGTATAGGAGAAATAAAGAGTCCTATACTTGTTATACCACAGCTTAGGTGACAAAATAGATATGGGACTAAATATTTACAAACACAAAGTAAAAAATGGACAGAAATAAAGGTTTGTACGCACATCTTCAGTGTCTACACAAAACTACACAAGTCACTAAACTAATTTTTTTTATATTATACAAATATAATATACAATAAAATATTATACAAATATAATATAAAAACCTGCCATATAGGATATGAGATTTAAAAAAAGACCCCTAACACACACACAAACAAACAAACACACACACCGGACCCAAACACTACAGATGCAGTAGTTATCAATGAAGCTTATCATATCTTATCTTATGGTAATATCAGTTAGTTTTAATTTTGACACACACACACACACACACACACACACACAGACGCACGCACACGCAGACACACGTCGTCATCGACCTCTGTGATAATCGGCGTCTGTGCGATGGCTCATCTCTGCCATCGATTTCTCTCTGATGTGTGGCGTGCTTTTCAGACATCTTAAACGACGCTATTTTTGACGAGGACCACAACGAGATGGTGATCGTGAAGGACATCGACATGTTTTCCCTCTGCGAGCATCACCTGGTGCCTTTCTTCGGCAGGGTAAGACTTTCATGCACTCGCTAGACGAAAGCTTAGACTGTGGTAAGCAAGTAGCAAGGCAAGCACAAATCAGATAAACAATGTGTTGCTATGGTAACTATGGTCTTTGAGGTGGGAAACCAAGCTGACTCGGCTCCGAATTTTTTCAGAACTAGTCCCAAAACTGTCCAGGACCAGTCCAGAACCAGAACCTTAAATACAGGGCAAAGTGCAATAGTTGTAATGTGTAGTTATTACACTAAAATGTCCTGCTCAGGATGTTCTAGTGTCAATAAGTCAGCGAGGAAAGAAGTCAGTGTGCTTTCCGCTTGGATCAATCAATCAATCAATCAAATTTTATTTATAAAGCATTTTTCATACAAAAGATGCAACACAAAGTGCTTTACAGTTTGGTTAAAAACAATCCCGCCGGCCCAAGACCCCTCGCCCAGACCACCCAACAGACCCACCCCAAACTACAGACCAACACACACACACGCGCTCATGAACACTCACACACACACACACACACACACACACACACACACACACACACACACACACACACACACACACACACACACACACACACACACACACACACACACACACACACACACACACACACACACACACACACGCGCACACACACACACACACACACACTCTCATGAACACTCACACACACACACACTCTCATGAACACTCACACACACACACACACACACATACACACACACACACTCTCATGAACACTCTCACACACACACACACACACACACACACACACACACACACCAGTAAAACAATAAAACCATGATGAGAGGCTTGGCAGGGTTCAGATGCAACCAGCTGAAAACGCGTCATCCAAGGAGCCGTCTGCACCAGGAGCAGAGAGCCGCCCGTAGCCACAAGGGACGACACAGGACCCAGAGGAGCCACACCGCAGCCACACCGACCACTGCTCCCGGTGCAGAGGGCTCCTCCAGAGGAAACACTGGGTAGACTAAAAACAATACAATAAGTAAAACACTAAAATGTGAGACTAAAAGGATACACACAATACATGAATAATAGCAATAGCAATATAATAAATAATAAATAATAAAAGATAAATAGAATGGAATAATAAAAACTAATCAAAAGCTACTCTAAAAAGGTGTGTCTTGAGCCTACTTTTAAAAATATGAATGTTCTCTGCGGCCCTGAGCTCCTCCTCAGACTGTTCCAGAGACGGGGGCTGTAGTGCTGGAAAGATGCCTCGCCGTGAGTGTGTGTCCTGACTTTGGGGATGGCTAGGAGTCTGCTGCCGGAGGAGCGCAGGGGCCGGGAAGGTTCATAGGATAAAAGCACTTCTGAAAGATAAGAAGGCCCAAGACCATTAAGACATTTAAAAACCATTAAAAGAACCTTAAAATTGATCCTGAAACACACGGGGAGCCAATGCAGCGATTTTAAAACCGGTGTAATGTGGTCCCGCCCCCTGGTCTTAGTCAGGAAACGTGCTGCTGAGTTTTGGAGTAATTTTAAACTTGCAATGTTCTTTTTGGGTTAGGGTTCTTAGGGTTAAGACCAGAGAGCAGGGCATTACAGTAGTCAATGCGACTGGTGATAAAAGCATGCATCAGCGTCTCCGTGTTGGCCCGAGAGAGAATGGGGCGGACTCTGGCGATATTCTTTAAATGATAAAAACCTATTTTTGTGATACTCTTGATGTGAGGAATAAAAGTCAGCTCAGAGTCAAAGATTACGCCCAGGTTTTTCACTTGTGAGGATGGATTAAAAGAGTGTGATTGGAGTTTTGATAAAAGTTTCTCTCTCTGGGCCTCAGGACCGATGACTAAAACCTCAGTTTTGTCCTGGTTGAGCTGGAGAAAGTTTTCTGCCATCCAGGATTTCAGGTCTAAAATGCAGTTAAAAAGAGCATCTTGTCTTTCATCTCCTTTTTACAATCGTTTTGAGTTCACCTTAACTTTCACGGATGGACTTTCACCCCAACTTTAACCCTTTAATGTTCACACCTTTAAGAAAGCAATGTATTTTTTGGATGTATTGATCCAATCTTTATGCAAGTCTCCATGCTCTGTGTTATTGAATGGCAGATGTGAATCTTAAATGTTTTCTTTCTTTGCCCTTGTCCAGGTTCACATCGGATACATCCCCAACAAAAAAGTGGTGGGACTCAGCAAACTGGCCAGGTACTGTAAACACACACACACACACAGAACTTTACTTTTCATATTGTTATACATTTCTCAATATTCAATAAAGTTTGTTTTTGTATAGTCCTTAAAAACAACAGCTGAGAATAAAACAATTAAAACTGCAATAATGAAAGGCAACTCTAACATAAGATATTTGAAACTTAACATAAGTTTTAAATTGTAACAAAGCGGTACATTATTTCAACTCTTCTGTTAATTCCTTCCAAACAGAAACACACCTTGATTTCACTTAAGTTCCTGCTTCAGTAGAATCAAAAAATAGACACTTCTGAAAAAAATTCTGAATAAAAAGTGACTCTCTACACAGCTGGCCTTGAGTGGATTTATGGGCAGTTTTTTGTGCCAGCTACAATATAAACCCACACCTTCTTAGTGTTGGAACAAACACAATGTATTATTCTGAAACCTCCTGGTCACATGCGTTCTCCCAGTGAGTGCTTGCCTCTCCACAGCTCTGCCTCCTCACCTTTCTCTCCACAAAAGCGTGGACTCCAGCCGCAGTCGTGGGGCCTCCATCATAAACTACACGGCCCCACAAATGCCTGCGCGGTTATTAGCGGCCCACTGCGTTCTTCTGTTGTTTCGGCGCTTTGACCTGGAGGCTTAGGCCCTGATCCGGTCCACAAGAGTCCAAACTTTATCATGAGAAAATCCCTTTCGCTGCTGTGGGAATAACCTGCCTCCGCCGTCACAGAGTTTCCGCCTTTCTTTACTAAAATATCAGTCTGAGCTTACAATCCTGAAACAACACTAAAGTCAATGGGGTTTTTTTCTCCTTTTTTACACAAACTGAGGTGAAGTACTGTTGATAATTCACACTAGCTGAATTTATTTCTGTGTGCAAAACCAAGGACTTGCATAGGATTTATCATTTTTGTAATTACATTAATATTAACCTGTGATTGTCTTTGCTTTTTCTAGGATTGTGGAGATCTACAGCCGCAGACTTCAAGGTAATTTCAAGCACAAGTAGCGTACTGTATGTTTTGCCATTTAAAGTGTGGTATAATTATGGACGGTATACAAGGAATGGACAATGCTAACCAGCTAACTGTTCTAAGTCTAATGTGCACCTGGAACTTTTGCTCCTATTCGCTCTGTGAGAAAGCTAACGTTCCATTTCTGCTGAGGAAAATGTTGTTAACATGGAGGTCTGTTGATAAAAAGTGCTATACCTCCTCCTATATCTCCTATATAACCTCCTCCAACAGGTATGAATTTTGGCTGCAGTACCGCAGGTGGCCTCTTGTCCATGTGGAGACTGGGTTTAAGCAGCAATACCCTATCCACATAATTTAATAAATCAAGATAATATTATACATCCATGGCTGGAAGAGACCAGCACTGCTCCTGATTGGCTCTTCAGTTGCTAGTTCGTTGCTACCCACAGATTTGGCTCCCGTTTGATTCCCGTTCACTGCAGATCTGTTTGAGTTAGCTTTAATGGGACATCTTCCGAGAAAAGGCAAAGTCTATGACGTCAGCACTTGGTCAGTCCACTCCTTCTGTAGTCTATGGACGTAACGGGCTTCTGCCTGTTCTTTGTTATTATCATAGTTCTTGTATATGCTGTAGTTTTTACGCAACGGCAGCAGAAATATGGGGACATCAAAGGCCCCACAGGCTCCGCTCAGACCACATATCGATGTTTCCTCCATCCTCACATACTGTAGGCCTTACACGTACTCTTGATATTAGTCCTGGACCTGGGCACATTTACAGAGACTTCCTTATCTATATTAAATTAGAATGTAAATAGATACATAATGTAAGTGTGTGCTCACTGTAAAGTCAGCAAAATGATCTCAAACCAAACACTAGGACTGTACTGTAAATATATAAATGTGTGATGTAATTATATAGCAATTATGAATGTTATCATTATTGTGGCCTTTTTTCTTTATTAGTTCAAGAGCGTCTGACCAAGCAGATCGCCATGGGCATTTCGGAGGCACTGCAGCCGTTAGGAGTGGCTGTCGTCATCGAAGCTGCGTGAGTATAAATGCATTCAGACAGCTGCTTCTGTACAGTCGCCCCGGGGCAGAATGACAGAGAAGGACTGCCAAGCTGTGCCAGCATCAATCATTTACAATCATGGTTTAGGCATTGGTGTAGTGCAGGGCCCAAAGAGACAATGGAAGTAAGCTGTTGTTTTGTTTTGGGGCAGAATGTAATATACAATCGTCACTTTACAAAAGACGATAGATAGTTCACCGCATGATTTTCTTTAGCCAATATTTTGAGGATGATATTGGTTGCTACCTCTGTCTTTTTGGATTTATTGTCATATTCAAGAATTAAAGAGGTTAAAACAATATTCCTGGATCAAAGAATTAGAGTCAATGTAGTTCCTCTGTTAAAATAATACTTTTGAACAACAAAAATTGAAATCATTGAATCACTGTGGTGTCATTTTGACCCGAGGTAGGGTTGCCAACTTGAGAACAAAAAAATAAGGGACACCATTTGGGTGGATCGGGTTGAGCACTTTTTAGTCCTAATTTCAATCTACACAGGAATCATGGAATTTCATAATCACAGTTTTTAGAATGTAATTTTTTGGCTACATATAAAAATCAAAAAAATTCTTAGGCAAAAAATAAATGTCATAAATAGGTGGAACTCTTTGGCTGGTTAAGGACTTCATGCATTCTTATTAGTAATAAAAAATATAAAAAGACAAACGCTGTAACATACATTATTTATGTATGTTACAGTAAAGACCATTTACTGTAAAAGAAAAAAAGAAAAACATGTATTCATTAAAAAAAACTCACACATGTTGAAATCAAAGTCTGTAGCAGTTAGATATGGTCATTATTTATAGTGTCTGAGAGTTTAGTGCGTGTACATGGCTTCAGTAAAAGCTATTTTTTGTTTACAAAGCTGGTATTGACATTGGTTGACGGTCCCTAAGCGCTTTTCTCGGCGCTTGCAGTGCACTGGATTCAATGGATTTCTCTGCATTAAAAACAGCGCATTGGATTTGAAAAATCAACATAGAGGTGATCATTTTAGCAAATTACTTTTGTTTAACAAAGTAACTTCCGTGAGCTATTGACCGCGGAAGTCCGAATCTGGGAATATGACGCTACTTTACCAGACTTCTGCCAGGATGATGCTGCGGGCATGGCCCCATAGATCCATGTACGGCCCACGCTGTCACTTGTCAACAGGGGTAAACCCATGGATGTGATCAAGCCTACGCCCCCTTTGACACTGTTTGGCCGAAAGGTAGACGCTTAAACTGTGATTACTGTGTGTGCGTGTGTCGCTTGTGTGACATGCAGTGAGTGAGTGATGCATTTAAGGCGACTCTGAAAATACGGGACAAAAGCCGTTCCGTATCAGTTCAATACGGGACGCACATAGTTTTTCTATAATACGGGACAATTCCGTATTTCAAGGGACGGTTGGCAACCCTAACCCGAGGGTAGCACAAGGGATAGCAATAACCACAGCATTCCTTTGCAGACACATGTGTATGGTGATGCGCGGGGTGCAGAAGATCAACAGCCGCACAGTGACCAGCACCATGTTGGGGGTCTATCTGGAGGATCCCAAAACGAGGGAGGAGTTCCTGACCCTGACGGCCAAACGAGCCTAAAGAAAGCTCTCACCTCCCGACAGAGTCCAATCCTCCTTCTGTGAAGACCTCCGCCCTGATCCTGCCGACAACAGCCCACAAAACTACTGAAATATAATGAGACAGAGAAATAGTTTGGGTTCTTTGAAAAGCAAATCACTTCGGTTGTAATTACTCAAAAGCACTTTACCTTTGCCATTCTTGTCTCATTCTCAAGCTACTTCTATTTGGCGACGTAAACAATGCACATCTGAATTCAGGCTAAAGCTAATAGCAAACAAAATGATAGTGTGTCCTCTTTGAAAATGTATTTTGTCATAATTGCCATTTATACAACACTTCCCTGGCCACTCCTAGTTCTGAAGAGTTGTTGACGTGAACTTAGCAACAACAAAAAACAGATGCTAGCGTAGCGTTAGCATAATATTAGCTTGGGTTTAATTTCATCCAACCAAGTCACAATTAGCATTCATTTCCCAAAACGCTAACCAAATTAACTTATTCTAAGCTAATTCTAACCTTCACCTGATAGTTAAATAATATTCTGTTACGTATAAACATTTGTTAGCATAGCCACCAATGCAAAGTAAAGTAAAAGTAAATTTTGTGGGATTGAACCAGAAACTTTTGACTCTATCCGCTGTTCCACCACTAAGGCATTGTTTTAATTGTTTTAATGATTTTGCTGGTTTTTGGTCTAGTGTTTCTGAACCCAAACTATCACTTTGACATTGGCTATAATTACAAATACTAGAGAAATACTAGTGCTTGTGTATTTCCCCTTTCAGTACAATTATCTTTAAAAAACTGGCAGGATCGGAAAGCCATCCAAAGTAAGAAGCCTTATCGCCATTTTCGGATTTTGAGCCATGTAGGAGGATTTGCTTTATTTAAACTAGCTGTGAACTAAATTTGGTGCCTTGAATTGATATTGTGTACAGCCTTAAAACCGTCATGTCTTATCTGTGAGTGCAATGATTTAAGATGGGACATTGCAGGTGAAAGTATTCATGTTGTATTCTGTCCAAAAATTGTAGTTAAAATGCTGGTATCGTTTTTTGGGGGTCCTTTTTTTCTTTTTTGTTGTTGTTTTTTAGTCGGATTTAAGCAGGTTTTTAACTCAAAATTGGTACATAATAATTGGAGATTGAGCTCTTGCAAACAGAGATTTAACCATTGTCTTATCTTAAATGTCACTAAAATCAAAACTCTCTCAAATATCTCTAAAATGATATATTTTGCCTGCAGTGTCTCACCCTAAGTTCACACCTTCAAAATGACCTTGTTACCATGGGAAATACTGGTGCTTTTACAAAAGGTTTTTAATGTTTTCTTTTCACAAAACTGTATTTAAACGACAAATGTGTTTATATGGTCCTTGTAATATACTGTGGGACATTTGTAAACTGTAAAGATTGTTTCTGAAACTGAAATAAGACAAAGATGTGTAGCCTGTAGCAGTGATCACTGTAGCATGTCATTTGAGCCTCTGATTGAATAAATAACAATGACAATAAATCTACTGTTTGTTTTGTTAAATATGTTCCCCAAGAATTATATGGGAGGTACTTAAAATGTCTGAAGTAACATTGTAAGCTTGATTTAAAGTTACTTATCTCAAGAAAGCAGCAATACAACTTATTTTTTTGTAGCTGTTGAACCCATAAAGTAATTTATAATAATACTTGGTCCATCAATCTGCTCTAAAAAGCCTTTCTTCCCCTTATTCAGTTTTGATTCAGTCCAGCATCAACTCATTTTGTTCATAATGTCAAAAATAAGTTACCATAAATTACATAAAAACAAACTTTCCATGAATGAAATGATGAAGATGTTTATGTGGGTAAAATATGAGATATAGGTACACGGGGATAAAGGCTGAGAACAACATTATTTCTGTTCCAATGGAGAACTTTCAGTCAATAAACAGTTTCCACCTGGCATTACAGTGGTCTCCCATCTAAGTACTGACCAGGCCTGCACTCGCTTAGCTCCTGAACGATGGTCACTGTGACTTCTCTTGATCAAAGTACCAGTCATAGGTACTCAACTGTATAGTGCTAACATAAAAAGTTAGCAGTAAAAGTAAAATTGTAGTAATAATTCAAGTATACAATAACAGAACTTTAAAACATTATACTGTAGTAGAAATGTTCATACTGGCAGAGAATGAGAATAAAAAACACAAGACATTAACTTATCTGGACTTGGAAGCATGACTAACCACAACAAATAAGCAACCACTTGTCACATTGTCAACCACTTCAAATGTGTTGTTGTGTAACAGAAAATCAAACAAGCTAGAACAAAATTATTTAATTCTCCACACTACAAAACTAGGAATTCACGCATTGAAATTGTTCCTAGTATAAGCAGTGTGCTTCCTCTACAGTAAGATTAATATTAAAAATGTGTTTTCTTTACCTCTTCTTACACCAGTGATGCTAAACATGACATGAATCCTAATGATAAGTCTTATCTTGACAAAAATAGTTGTGTTGCAGCCGTCTTCATTGATTTTAAACGTGCATTTGACACGATCAATCATTTAAAACTCCTATCAAGACTGTCTGAATTTAACTTCAGCGCTCATTCAGTTCAGTGGGTGAGGTCATACCTTTTAGACCGGCAGCAGTGTGTGCAAGTAGGTGACAGTAGGTCCCCCTTTCTCCATTACAACAAAGGGGTTCCTCAGGGGTCAATTTTAGGCCCCTTACTTTTCTCACTGTATGTCAATGACTTACCAAGTATCTGTAAGAATGTGGACACCATAATGTATGCTGATGACACAGTTATTTTTACAAAAGCAAGAAGTGCAGAGGAGGCAGCCCTTTGTCTGTCAACAGTTCTTGATGATCTACAGAAATGGCTACGTGACTCCTATCTCTGTCTCAATGTTAAAAAAACTGTATCTATGTTCTTTTCCAAGCCAAACACAAAATTAACCCCAGCAAAGGTAAACCTGGGAGGTGTAGCCTTAGAGAATGTAGAACAATTTAAGTATCTTGGTGTACTGCTAGATTCAAAATTGTCATTCCATAATCATGTAAAAAAAATAGTAAAAACCGTAAAATTAAATTTACATAATTTTAAACATATTCGAGCTTCCTTGACTGACCAAGCAGCACTAACTTTCCTACATTCTATGATACTGTCTCATATAGAATACTGTATCACGAGCTGGTCTTATGCTGGTATCTCAGCGATTAAACCAGTCGAGTCATGCTACAAAAGGGCACTTAAAATCCTTGACAAAAAACCTCTCTCTTTCCACCACTGTCAAATCTTAGATAAAATTGGAAAAACTCAGTAACTTGTATTTAAGTTATTTAAATCTACTTGCTTGATCTACAAAGTCTTGCATGATTTGGCCCCCCCACCAATGAGTGAGTTCATCAAGCAGAAATCTGTTAGTGGCGCTGCTCGCTTGACTCGAGCGACAGTCAGAGGAGACTGTGATCTCCCACTGAGAAGGACAGCCTTCTCCCAAAATGTCCTGTCAGTCCAGGGCGTAAAGGACTGGAACAGAATACCAGCATCAGTGAGGGACTGCACCAGCCTCCCCACATTTAAGCATCAGTTAAAACTGTGGCTGAGGGACTCTCAAATATGTGAGCATGTGTAACATAAGTCTTGAACAAAGAAGCAGGGGAACAACAGGGAACAGTACAGAAGGGAATAGTGTAGTAGGGAACGGTGCAGTAGGGAGTAGTGCAATAGGGAGCAGTGCAATAGGAGCAGTGCAATAGGGAGCAGTGCAATAGGGAGCAGTGCAATAGGGGGCAGTGCAATAGGGGGCAGTGCAATAGGGAGCAGTGCAATAGGGGGCAGTGCAATAGGGGGCAGTGCAATAGGGGGCAGTGCAATAGGGGGCAGTGCAATAGGGGCAGTGCAATAGGGGGCAGTGCAACAGGGAGCAGTGCAATAGGGAGCAGTGCAATAGGGAGCAGTGCAATAGGGGGCAGTGCAATAGGGGGCAGTGCAATAGGGGGCAGTGCAATAGGGGGCAGTGCAACAGGAGCAGTGCAATAGGGAGCAGTGCAATAGGGAGCAGTGCAATAGGGAGCAGTGCAATAGGGGGCAATAGGGGGCAGTGCAATAGGGGGCAGTGCAATAGGGGGGCAGTGCAATAGGGGCAGTGCAAAGGGAGCAGTGCAATAGGGAGCAGTGCAATAGGGAGCAGTGCAATAGGGAGCAGTGCAATAGGGAGCAGTGCAATAGGGAGCAGTGCAATAGGGAGCAGTGCAATAGGGAGCAGTGCAATAGGGAGCAGTGCAATAGGGAGCAGTGCATAGGGAACAACAGTGCAATAGGGAATAGTGCAGTAGGGAACAGTATAATAGAGAACAGTACAGTAGGGAACGGTGCAGTAGGGAACAGTGCAATAGGATGTGTGAAATACAATGTCTCAAGTCTTTCTGTCAATTGTTGTTTACTGTCTCACATGTCTGTACGTGTTCAGCTGTCCTTGTACATGTCCTGTATATAGTCTTGTGTACACTGTATTTTTTGCATGATTTGTATTGTTACATCTTGTTTGTTTTTATGTTCTTTGTTAACATCAACCTGCCAGGAGGTCTGCAGATGGAAATTAGCCTAAGGCTATAATCTGGCATACTTACATTTGTTAAATGTTCATTAATATGCATTGTACCTCCTTTAACACCCAAATAAATAAATAAATAAATAAAATAAATGTTTTCTCAGCTGATGTTTCACAATGTGAGAAATTTGAGGGCCTTCATTGAGAAAGAGGTTATCCAACTCCATGAAGCCGAATAAGCTGCTTACGTCCCCAGCTGCTGTGATCCTTTGACGCCGTATAAATCAATAATAAAAACCAGTGTGCTGAGCATGTGCTGCGTCAACCCTGAGGGGAAAGTCGCCCTTTGAAAACCTAAAATACCACGAACTTTGACTGAGCAGCCATCGCCCACTATCTCCCAACGCAATAAAACTAAAACAGGCAGCCGGTGAATTAAGCTAGTTTGACGTAAGAGGCTAAATTTAGGGCTAAAAAA